CAAGCATTGCATATAACGGAAGGAAAAAGGATATTTTGTCTAGAAAATAAAACAAAAAACTTGCTCTAAAATCTATTTTCTCTTTGAAACAACTACATTCAAATCGAATATAAATTTGATATATACCAAAATACAACCTACACTTCCTATACTACTACTACATCGGGAAACAAATACTTAAATTCAATATTTGCGCCACGAGAGGCTGTCAAAGAATAATAGTTACCAAAAGTATATCAGAATAAAGCAAAATTATGTAAAAATACCTTGCCATCGCCCAACAGAAAAGATTCGTTACTTTTTTTCTTCTGCTTGACGATATCGGCAGAGAAATTCGCGGCAACATAAACACCAGAAAGGTTTGTTTGGTGGGTGTAACGCCTAAATCTTAGTAAGCTTTGGAAAAGATAAGACTGAAAGGTAATAAAAGTTAGCGGTTTTAAGACTGATACGGTTTTAAAGAATAAACGTTTGATAAACGCATTAATTAAACCAACCATAAAGAGCCAACTATTAAAAACCAAAGTTTTGAAGCAATCTCTGCTAGAACTGATCAAACTACTCTTTTATTAACGAAAAACGAGTGGAATAACCTTTTATGTTTATGTGCCCTTTTCGTTTTCCTCTTGCCAGTCGGTCTCAGCGAAACCAATCGAGAATAACTCTCTTGATAATCAGACAACTTCCTTAGCTCTGATGGTTCAACGTTATCAAAACCATCCTTAAAAATTCTCAACTATAGAAAACTCTGTAATAAACAGAACAGCAATATCAAAAGCAACTTATTTCCGGCTTTTTGATTCACGGCTCTACTTGTAAATTGAAAAGACAAAGAGATAGGTGGAATGAAAGATTAACAAATGAAGAGAAAATAGAAAGTTCTAAAAATTTTCAGAGAAACGCAGTGAAATTCAAAGTATTAAAAAAGAGTTGCAATAAGTGCAAGATAAGTTGGACTTCTTTGCTCCAAGTTCATATTCCTATTTGTTAAACGTTACGCCATAAATAAATTTATCTAAAAAGTCAAATAGTAAAAAGCCCACTTTCTTAAAACAAAAAAACTGTTAGAACAGAGTATAGTCATATAAGCCTCTAAGCACAAAAGTAAGTAAGTCAAGAGACTAAATACAATCTTAGTTACCGGAGTAAAATTCCCAGGAACAACTATAAGCCAGTAGTGGCTGATAGGTCCATACTCCTCTGAAGCAAGACCAAGCATTAATGACGCTGTGCTTGCATCTCTTGAGCCAGCAAATCGAGGAGGATCAACCATTGGCGAGGCTCTACACTTAGTTTTGACAATTATTTCACTTGGGAAGTAAGTCCTACTATCATCACGAACTCCCACTTGGATTATGTATTTCATATCAGGGCGCAGCTCAGTCAGTCTAGAAATTCCAAAAATTATAGTAACAATAAAAGGTTGCTTAGCAATTTGAAAAAACGAAATTATACAGCAAACATCAGGAGCTTACGAACATTTCCTATGCTCATCTCAAGAGTTTTTTAGATCTTAAATTGAATAAATTCATAGAGCATTTGAAATCTATAAATAAATAATCATAAAAAGCTTACAGGTAACCAGGTTCAGCTTTTTCTACAGTCTTTTCAATCGGCAAGATATTGTTCTCAAAGTACTTTCCATTGTTATCAACATACGATTTGTTGCCAGAATAACGAACATAAAAACGCACAGATTGTGGCCCATTGTATGTCCAAGTTAGTTGTACCGAGTTTGAAGTTTTGAATTGTACATGCAAATTAGTAACAATATGTGTAGGGTCCAGTCTATCGATTGCTACTGGAGGATCCGAGCAAGGGCCTTGGCGCTGCAAATTTTCGTTATGAAGAGCCGCACAGAGAGGAAAATCTATACATAAGGATATAAACAATGTGTACTTACTCCGTCACGTATTGCAGATACGCAAAAAGCATAAGGAGTCTCAGGTGTTAAATGATGTATGTGCAAGTGTCGCACTGCAGGATCAGTAACTGTTCGCGTTGACCATTTTTCACCTAACCGCTGTCCAGGAGAAGGCTGGTGCATGAAACGAACTTCAAATTCGCTAACGTTCTGCCCATTGTAGTCCCACTGTACTACAGCAGATGTGTTTGAGGTGGCTTGCACTCGAACATTCGATGGAGATTCAACCAAGGCTAAAAGAATAATCATTATCCTTTCTTCATAGGTGAAACTGCTACAGTTTTTCAGTCTAATTAATAAGACTTAAATTTCTAATTTATTAATTGAAAGTTTTTTTTTATCAAGAATATTAAAATGAAGATTTCTATGAAACTGGTACGACAAAGCTTTGCAAGTCTTAAACTGAAATAAGAATAGGCGAAGAACAGCCTAAGCATAAAAAGTAAAAAATACAAGACCAGAGCTGTTACCCATAGAAAGAAAAGAAATGAAGACTTCCAAAATATGCAAATTTGGAAAGCAAGATATGTCTTATATTTGAAAGTGTAGTTCTAAAGGAAGAAAAGCAAACGTTTCTGAAAAAGTTTGTCAAGAGATAATGAGCTGCAAAATTAATTAAAAAATAAATTACGTGCTGCATAGACGTTCCCTTTCAATAAACTATGAATAATAGCTGAAAATATGTCTTGTTGAACAAATGAAGAAAAGAGCCTCAAACTGAAATCCTCTTCGTCCATTTCAGAGGCATTTTAAAACAGAATGTACCACTGCCGATAGTACAACCTAATGTGGTCTAAGCTTCATTAGCTTTAGTCGTCCGGTTGAAAATTAATCAATATGAAATCAAGTATGCTAAGTCGATAGTTCCAATACATATTTTTACCACATAAAAAACATTACGATTTTGGGAAAAAATTTAAAGCTAAAAGTATCAGCAGATGTCAGTATGAGAAGGAAAAGAAGAAGAAACAATTATGCAGATGTACCAAAGAAAAATTCAAAACCTTGAAACCATTAAAGATATTTCGATACTGTGAGAAAGCAAAAGTGATGCTTTATTTTTCATTCAAAAGTAGTCAGAATCCATTATTGAAGATTTTTGTACTAAAAATGCGGAAACAACAAAACCAGTTTCCAAATTTGATTTCAAAAACTCGTACAGAGACGGTTCAAACTTCATATGCATTGATAGAATACTTGCACAGTCCCAAAGACCTTTCAAAAGTATGTTGAATGAGACACATTTCAAGAGTCTATTAAAAAGTTCACGTTGCTACTAATTGTAAAGCGAACCAAGGGATTTTCACAGTTAGTAGAGAATATGAAACCTACGCAACGATGGTTCAATTGGACCTTCTTTGTGGCGTACTTTGGAGAATTTGGAAAACTTAGATGAGAAATCAAGTGGTCCCGGAACTCCAGCTTTGACAATTTCATTGAAATAATCAATTGAGGATAAACCTTCAACTGTTTCCTCCTTTTCGTTATATGTCATTGTTTCTATTAAAGGCCAAGTCCAAACTAGAAACGCAGTAAAATTCAGCTACCAATAACAAATAGGACGTTTCGAAAGATATTAGTAAAGACTAACCTCAAAGAGAAATGTAAATGCAATTTCTCCCTTCTTCTTTTTTTTTGTCCATAACTTGGGATCACCTACCCTACACCAACTAAAAATTGTAAAAAATAGCTATTTCACGTTCATACAAGTTAATGACAAATAAGATGTCTAGATTTTGATTTAAGTATTCAAAAATTTAAAAGAGTAAAAGCCGATCAAAATTTATCGTCAAGTCTGGGGAATTAAGGCGTGTAAATTGCTATAAATACTTGCCAAACGAAAACATAAAAAAAATCAATGAAAGAGTTGAATTAGCAAACTGCTAAAACAAATGTCTTTAAAAGCCAGCAAAACAAATATTGGACTACTTTTTATTTAGCGCGCTAACAATTCAGTGTAAAAAAGCCAAATAAAAACAAATAAGTGTTTGAAAATTTGTCCCTTCAGTTATATTCAGTAAAACCTGAAAAATTGAATATTAGAATCTTCAAAATACAACTTGCTGTCAAATCTAAAGTCGACAAGCATGCCTGAAAAAAATGAATCTTTATGGAAACTTTTGGCTCGAAGCTTTTGAGCCTTCTGCTGCCGGCGTGAATACAAATTCTGTTTTCCGCGAGCTCGAGCATGCCGTGCAACACGCTTTAATGTCCCTTGTTCAAATATCATCATAAATTTCAACTCTCAGCATTATTATCACACTAGAAATATTCTAAGTTAAAAAAACTGATTGTGAACGCCACAGAACAGCAGAATTGTTACAATTAAGAACAAATAAAAAGCATTCAAAATCAATCTGCACACTTTCCAATGCTTGAATTTAAGCTTCAAAGTGGCTGCAAATTGCTGCAGTAAAAAAAATAATGCAACAAGTGCACTTACTGTTACTACCACATGCTGCATTATGATTGCTAGTAAAATAATTTTAAAAAACCGAACAATAATCGCAAAAAGTCTAAAAAATTTTTTGAACAATCAATTTTTGAAAGCCTGATAAATAAATAAGACTAAAAAAATTTTTTCATGAAATCTTTTTGCCGAAATCGTTAAGCCTAAGCACAAAAAAAAAATGAGAGCAGGAAGTGCCATGTAAAAAAACTCAAGTTATTTTTTTTGGATTCATCCTGCAATTGCATAAAGCTTCTCCTCTAGCTAATTCACCCGTTTCTTTATTTAATAGCCTTCTTTTGACGCGCTACTATTATAGTTTCATAGAACAGAGTATATAATGTTAAGCATCTAAACTTCTAAAAAGTGGCTTAGCGGTACTGAAGCTGACTTAAAAAACATAGAATAATAGTAAGTTAAAAGATGAATAGCTTAATTAAAAACATCAAAAGCCATAATAAATGCAAAAATTAATTTCTCATTTAAAAAATAAATACCGAAAGATTGTGTGCTTCAGTAAGGAATAGGAAACAGAGAAAAAATAAACAAAAAATTTTAAGAAATCAAACTATTACAGGTAGTGCGATAAATAAATGTCTATTCACGCGAATTATACGGCTATTCATTAAAATCAGAGAGAAACGCTCGGTTGGCAAAAGTTGGCTTTAACAGTGAGACAGCTCTCGAGAGCAAAAATACCTCGGACTGTCTAAAATAGATCCAAAAATTCTATTTCCAAAAGATTACATTCACCAATTCTTTCTCCCTTCCCATTCCAAATTAACTTCGCTTCCTAATCGTATTAAATTCGTTTTTGTCTCACTTACATACCCAATAAAATTCGCAAACAGCATACAAACCTCCGTCCTCATTTTTTAGAATTATATATTTTTTTACTTTTGAGAAATTCATATCAAATCGTGTCAAAAAAAACGTTTGAAATAAATTTTCAAAAAATTGTTTGAAAATCAAGAGACATGTTAACTAAGAACAAATTAAGCATAATGAGAGGCTTATATGTAATTTTTACATGAGCCCATATTATGAGTTTCTTAACAAGTCGAATCAACCCAGCTCATAAAGCTTAGGAGTCAAGTCCAAAACCTTCCCTTTCGTCTCCGCCCCTTGCCGAAAAAAATAAAAAATTAAAATAAAAGAAAATGTTGAGGCATAAGAGCATAGGTATTAAACGGCAGATAACGGCTCAAACTGCCTCAGCTACTTACAAATAGATTACATTCAAAGAAGGCAGATAGAACAAAAATAGAAAAACAAAGGCTCAAACATGCAATATAAGTGAATAAAAGATACAAAAAGAAAAAGAATTAGTGAGCAGGCAACCAAATAAACCAAAAAATTCAAAATGACGAGGATAAAAACAACTTGCCAAGTTTCATCGAACAAATCTGCATAAAAAAGTGCTGGAATTCCTGCCAAGCTTCTTTGATCCCTTCATGATGAGATATCAAAGTTTTCCATTCAGACGAGAACTGAGTCATAAAAACCTCCAATCGTTCCATGAAAATCTTTTCACAAAACTCTTCAGAAATACGACCTGTTCGTGGGTCCAGAAGACCAGGAGTGCCAAAACGCTCAAAGCCATCAGCAGATGACATAGGAACATGGTGTTGCCCAACAGTCGCCAATGAGCATACTTCCATGTACAAATTTTCAAAACTCGACCAAGCCTCTCGTATACCGTCCGTATTAGCAACATGATATTTCCAGCCAGTGGCAATTAAATTCGCAAACTTCTCAAACTTATCCAAAAAAATTTCGCGACATATTGTCTGAGGAGGTACCACCGAGGTTAAGAGTTCCGGTGGGGTCCCACTACCAATATCGTTTATTTCCGAAGAGTCAGAAGACAGTGATAAATCTCCGTCTTTTACAAGACTATAAGCATTTTCGGTCATCATAAAAAAAGTTTAAAAGAATGGCACATTAAGCTCCAAATTAGTATTTGTCCATTTGCAAATGCTATTTAAAACTAGTTTTCTGAGGTGATCGAATATCTTAGGAATAAGCCCCAACTTTTATAGGCTTCCCAAGTATAGCAGAAATAAATGATAGCATTACGATCACAGAAGTTCTCAAACTGAAGGTAATTGACTTCTTTATATTCCTGTACAGCTCATTTTCTGCCTAAATTGAATTATAGTGAGTGTTCAAATGAATGACATAGAGATTACATAGTAAAAAACACATTTTCTCAAAACAGAGAATTCAAGAAAAATCAGAAAAATAACGCTATAATCAGATAAACAGATGATAAAATAAAAATTGAATATAAGGAAAAATGAGTAGCACGGCCAAAGTTGGTTGTCATGAAGTCTGACAATATCTGAATTAATCTTAAAATTACAAATACATTTAGCAAAGCACGTAGTCAAAAACCAATAAAAACTAGAAAAACAAAGGTGTAAGCGTCCTTTGCCAAACACCATTACGCCTGAGAACAGTTACAAAATTGTTACTTCCATTAAAAAAAAGCAATCCTATAAAAACCGAGAAAAAAAAAAACAGGGCAATAACACCTGATATTAAAAAAATTTTAGTGCCAAAGATAAGAAAAAATAAAAATGATTTAAGTTAAATAAACTGGTCGACGGATGCTAAGCATAAAAACAAATATGCAGCTGTAAAAAAGTAACTCTAAACATACGCATTCCGTTGTTGTACTTTTTTATCGAGAAACTTATATCCATCAAGAACTCATGAAAGTTTTATGTCGTGCTGCATTTCTGATATACAACTCCTCTGGAAATGCAGCTTAACAAAATCTATAGAGGAAATAAGAAAGAATGAAACAAAAAATGTTCCGCATGTTAAAAATTTTTCTTAAAAAACTGGGCTGACATCTAAAAAAGTAAGTTGCGAATAAAAAAGAACAAAATTTGAAAAATATGTTGTAGAAAGCTTGAATAAAATTTTTAAGTAACAATTTTTTCAATGAGGAAAAAGGCAATTAGAATCGATAATGTCACTCCGCTTAAAACCAAAAAGCTAAATGAATGGAGAAGTGAGAAAGCTAAACACCACCTGCTTTGCTAAACAAATCAACACAAATTATCCACAAGATAAAAAGCCTTTCAAACAGCCTTGATGGCTTTATTCTACCATCAAACATTATCATCAAAATATCAACGTTACTGTCAACTTGTCGTCATGCAGTTCAGACAGCTCTTTAAACGAATGTCGTCGTGAAGAAAAACCCTTCTCTCAATCCGGGTTTTGACTTTTCATCAGTCAGAACCGCCTAGCAGCCACAATTACACGCTTTCCACAATTAATAAACACAAACAAGCATAATATACCCAATCGAAATTTAAAAGAAAACCAAAAATCTATTTTCGTCATAATTGTCCTGACCTTCAACATGACAACAGGATCTACTTTAAAAATAAATCATCAATTTGAAGCTATTTTCCACCGAGAGGTCTTACTAAAAAATCTTTCCCCTTCTTTTCAGCAATAACTGCATCTTTTATAAGAAGGTTTGGACTAAACATAAAGTAGTCTTTAATGTTTCTATGCAGTTGTCCTGTGCTCTTAAATTGCTGAGAACTAAATCAAAATACAATTTTGAAAAAATAACAATAAGTGAGTATTAAATGTGAACTGCTGCTATAAGCTAATGGATGGCTATTAACTAGATTACCATTTACTACCTCTTCAAAACAAACCCTTCCAGTGTTTGAACTAATATTCATAAGCTAAAAAATAATTTCCCCCGTTCTTTCAACTTTCCATCAATCCCTCGAAAAAACTAATGGATCAACATTGCTTTCTAGAACAATCCGATCCTGTCAACGCTTTTATTGCAAAGGAAAGAAGCGCTCTCAACTTTTCATATCGTTTTTCATTTCGTGCTTAAAAAAATAGTGGCTTAACTTCCTCAGTACTTCCTCTAAATTAAAAGTCACTTTTCAGTTATCTTTGCCAGATAATAGACATCTCAACACATTTAGAACCAAAGTCAGCCAGAAAATAAAACATATAAACAAGGCATTCAATACACATATATTTCATCAAAACAACGAAACACTTGAATGAAATAGTAATTTACGGTTAAATTCTAACACACAACCGTAAACCCCAACACGTCAACAATAAAAGTTCAGAGCAAAATTTATTTCAGCAGATTCAAGTTTAAGTTGTCTGTTTGATCGATTAGAAAAAAAATCGAGTGTTATTTGGACAAAAAAAACTAAGAAAAAGTCGTATTAATAAACCTGTAAAGTTTAGCAACGACACTACTCTCAAGAAAGAACCAGCTACAGGTGTTTACAACGATACATGAAAAAAATATGAAGCGTAGCATTGCAAGAAGTAGTTAAAACTGCGAGCACAGAAATAGTTAAAAGAAAAAGTTGACGAAAAAACTGCAGTGGAACTCATATGCCACAAACTCCTGCCATTATTACGAATTTCCCATTTATAAAAAAGCAACAATTACTACTCCCGCCCTACCAAGAGCAAAAATGAAAAGCCATGAGGAAAATTATAAAACATTTCCCAGTATGTCACCGTCATATGAAACTCTTCTGTTTATGCAGACTCAGTAACACCAAGCCAAAGTCTTGTTACGTTAAATTCATTATAACACATAAAGCTGTAAACAAAAGCTGCTTTTTATATTAATTTTCTGGCAGAAAAGCCAACCTGAAAGCCTAACAAAAAACAAAAAATTTATTTTTTCGAATTTCAGGTAAAAATGCGTTAAAAAAGAGACTAACTCACTCATATTTCCAATTACATCCTACAGCTCACTGATAAACCGCTCTTACTTTCAATTATTGATTAACTTTTCTATTAGTAACTTAATTTTAAAAAAAACGTACGCACTGTCTTGTAAAAACGTTATTTTCTAGTTATACCGCTTAATAATCACATTCTCAGTCCAGAAATTTTTTACATCAACTTGCATTAAAGCAAAATAAATAGGTTGAAACCTTCCACGCCCCAATCCTATCCGATATTATATAAAAGATGCCACTTAAAATGTCACCCCGTAGAAGTTACCAACCCTTTTAATCGACTTATTAAAATATTAATTAAAAGACTTCTTATACAATCAGCGGCTCCCACTGCCGATCAAAATATTAAAGCTAAGAATTTCAAGAGCAATGAAATACAACCAGCTAAGTTAAACAGGGTCTAATAAAGATGGTAGAACAACAATTCAAGCTGCAGAGAAACTAAATGAGAAAAATATCAGCACCTATATCTACAACCAATCCAGTTCAAGTGGCACTTATCCTCAAATCAATTTGATAAAAGCAGCCATCAAAACACCATACCGTAAATTACTTAAGTCCAAGTTATAAAAAAGTTAGCTATCTCCCATCAAAGTAGGCAAAAACTCATTGAAGTTCGATGAATAAAATCAAAATTAAACTTTCGTCATCAGAAGTCTAGAGAACTGAAAAATAATTTTAGAACCATTAAAAGTTTACACGCTTAGCATGGCTGGACGCCAGTCTTTAAACGTGCATTTGCGCCATATTTGCTCTCCAAACAAAACTGGAACACTGCAGGGTGACTAATTATGAGCAACCTTGACAGGGAAAAGCATTCAACTATTAAAAAGCTGCCAGATGATTTCAAACTAGTTGGGAAGAATTAGGAAACAGAAAATTTCTCTTGAAAATTCAAAAATAATTCACTTCGTTTAACACATAGCTTTTTAAAGTTTCCTGACGATAAATAAACTATTAATTGATTAACCAAGAACAACAGTGAGAATAAGGTATCGCCAAAAGTGACAAACAACTGTTTACTTTTCAAACAGCCCGCAATAGAACTAAAAGAGAAGCAAGAAAGCCTTATCCTACAAAAACTTAATACAGACCTAAGATAGAACATATGCAAGCGCAATAAAATCCGAACGACAAAAATATATGTAGATGAGAAGTTCCAGCAAAAACCTTTTCGCAGAGAAACTCTCCTTACGACTTTAAAATACCAAATTATAAAGTCAGAACTGAGACAAGGGGATCAGTCACAATGCAAATTGCCGCAACTCAGAACCAAAAACACTATCCAACACGAAAAAGATCAAGTTTCTTTTCTGCGTTAGACATTCAGACGCAACTGGCATACTATAAAACCCTAAGCGATTGTCAATATTATTTTAGAAATCGAAAAAAACTAAAAATTGCTAAAATTACTGGTGCAGAGCATCAAAACCCTAAGAAGTATTTAAAAATAAAATTTAACAGCTTCCAACATAACAACAATAAGAGTGACCGTCAACTGACTTTTGGATAAACTACATAAAAGAATCAAAAGCAATATAGCACGACATGTGATTGATATACAGAGGAAAACGACTGGAAAACTGAAGAAAACCAACGAATGAGCATTTAAAACTAATCACAGAAAATTATAACAGCTAAAGACCTGCAAAGACTCTAGACACTTTTTTAAAAGCGACTAAAGATATATAGCCTGGTGAAGTTTAAAACTGTCAATAATTTTACAATATAAGGGAAACGAAGAACACTATAAATTGCCAAACTTGGAGGTTCTAGCAGCATGCATAAATCTATATATGACTTACCATTCGGATCCGGGTCAATATTTAGCACTTGAGAGAACGGACCAAGCCCCTCACTGGTGGCAGCAGCGACTTTAAAGTTGTATGACTGACGAGCATTAAAATTATACGTAATCTTCTCGCCGTCCGTCACCTATAACAGATTATGCCAATAAAGCTTTGAAAGGTCAGATGTGATATCGGAATGTTTGCGAAGCAAACGAGAAAAAGGCAGTACATTTTTGACAATAGCTGCTTCTTGAGGCTTCACTGGTTCCAACCAAGTTTCATACCGTTCAATTTTACCGTTACGACTATTTGAAGGTGGAGGATCCCAAAGAATTGTCATCTGAATAAAAAAACTTTAGTTAATGCCATTCAAATAAAATTATGCTCAGTTAAAGTTATAAAACAAATAGTTTAATAAAAGTCCTTCAAAACATCATCACGCCAGTTTGCATGTATCCATCATCTAACATAGCTAGGCCCTACGCTATTCACCTAGCAGAAAAAATGACCTAAGAAAAGCAGAATAAAGGTACAAAAATTAGACCACAGAAAATAACCAACAATTTAACACATGGATAAATTCTAGACGATAATGCCAAAAACAAGTAAAATTTAAAAGCTAAATGTTTAAACGGAAGTCAAGATACTCCAACGATTAAATTGACCTATAGTGATAAATAATTAGGTCGCAGTTAAAAGGTGTCGCATTTAGGTTAACATCTTGCTATAAACATGCACCAAGAATTGCTGAAGGTATATCCACAAAACAAATACAGCCAACAGCCTACTGTTTCATCAAAAAAAGTATTATCTGACAAACAAAATAATCTTTACAACTAAGAAAACCCTTATTAAATATAACCACAAACATTTGCGATATAATTCTTCTTATTTTAGAAAAAAAAGATAAAAGTTGAGAGAAGAACGTAAACTAAAGCTAGTAATCTCAATATAAGATCTTCTGTTAACCAAAAATTTCTAACTAACGAAAGATGTCAAATACCATTAACATCTAAAATAATGCATCTTCACCAAAACCTATTTCACGTAACGTTTTCATCTGGTTAGGCAGAAAAATCACAAAAGAAGTTATCCTCAAAATCCGTAGGTGCTTCAAAATCATAAGCAACGATTCGGCTAAGTTTTTGCTAAACAATGCAGCAATCAAACAATAATTACTATCTAAAGAAAAAGAAGTATAAAAGTACAAAATCTGTTCCTGCCTTTTGATAGCAGAAAAAGAAAAGCTAGAGAAATGATATACAAAATGTTTAAGTTAATGAATGACTTCTTCACTGACGATGAGAAGAAAAAGTATATTAAACTCACAGCATTAAAGAGGGAATTATTATGATTAAATATACTGCCAAATACATGTACCCCATAAATTTTTAACAAGCTAGAAAACTTCCCATTCCAGATCAGTCACAACAAAAAATATATATATATA